TCACTTATCAGTGCATTCAGAGAAAGTCAGGATATCACAAGTCCTCATAATATATGCAGAGTAATATCAACAACATATTAGGCAATATACCCCATTGTTTGGGATGTATGGGACACAGAGCCAGTCAGTCTGATGATATGGACAGCATCCTCTAAACAGATCTAACCTTATTAGAGGCCAACATCTCTGAGAGCCTAGACTGCTGGATGGGAAACTAACACCCAGAATTACTGTTCAACAAATATAATATACAAATGGCACATTTGGAAGCAACGAATGTCACTAACAAGTTGAAAACCTGGTAATACTGTTCAGGTGTACAAGGGGCACTAGACCAGATTTGGACTTGAGATATTGTCATAAAATAGAACCTGTTTACAACATGGTTGGTCCCAAAATTTTTGCAGAAAACATACCGAATAGACAGGATTGTATCCATGTTTTCTAATCAAGATCTTACTTATATTTCATAACCTGGCTAAATCTAAAAGTTTCTCAGGAAACAGTCAACATTTTAAAGCAGGGGTGGAGAACCTCAGGCTGGGGGGCCAGATGCAGCTTGTGGCTTGCCTGGATCCAGCTCCTGAAGCTCTAGAATCGTGGGGTCTGCACTGGTGCTCCAGATCCCCACCACCGGGCTCAAACATACAACATCAACTAGGCTGGGCTCCCCTAGGCTCTGGTGTATAAGGGAAATGTGGGGAGTGTCTTTTTGCTTCTCAGTCGGAGATCACATCAGTGAGGGTTTGTCTTGTTTTGGGTTGTTTTTTTTTTAATTTGGGGGGGGGGGGCAGGGTTTGCCTGTCATGTATGGCCGACTGATTTTTCTGTGGGTCAGCAGACCCCGACCTAAAAAAGGTTCCCCACTCCTGTTCTAAAGGTTTACCCTAGCTATGGAACAATTAACCCCCAATCTATTTTGCATCTTGGAATACTGTTCCCTAATCAGAACATCTTGCTCCCTATCTACCTTATATTTTATAAAATCAGGAGGGGGAAATTTAATGTTACATGGCCACAAATAAGAGGCTACGGCCATCTCTGTTTGACATTAAAAAAATAAATGCCTTGATCAAAATTTTCAAAAGTAATGATTTTGGTACCTAGCATGAGACAAGTTAAGATCCCATTTGAGCAAGATACTTAAACATGCACCTAACTAAGCATCTGAGCAGTTTATGCTTTAAGTTAGGGACGCAGTCAAGTTAAAAGAGAAAGACACAAATGACTTGATGAATTTGGACCTTAGTATGTCTCAACTGCAGAACCCCCAAAATAGAGGCACAAACTCCTAGATGCTTTCGAAGATCTTGGATTAAACTTTTACTTTCAAGTTTCACAGAATATTCATGGTAACATTTTCTAATTGCATATCATCTTTGACACAGATACTATGTGGCTAAAGATACAAAAGCGACATTTCATAAACAACAGACAAGTACAGTAAAACTTTAATAGTCCGGCATCCAATTGTACTGCACTCCCGATAATCCGGCATCAAAATAGCAAGAGCCTAGTAAGTGAGCTTCAGCAAAAAACGAGTCACACGGCAGCAGCGGCAGCAGGCGGAAATTTGTGTGTGCCTATATAAAAATCTACACGCTGGACAGTGCTTATGCTACAATACACACACACACACACACACACACCAGGGAAAAAATTCTGTTGAGAGAAAAAAAAAAAAAAGGACACCGAGAGTTAAGCAAATAAATAAATAAAATAAAAATAAAAAACAGCGTGGCCCCTTTAAGAAATATGGTAATGATTTACATTATGAAATACTATACTATGTTTCTACACAGCACCTACCACAACATGGCTTTAACCCTCAAGATGCCCCCCTTGTTGTTAATGTGTGAGAAATTAACAAACAAATTAAATTTAATGAGTTATGGTTGCAACAAAACCCACACTACACACTCAAAACAGCTTCATTCTAGTATTCTTTACCATCTTTACATTGTATACAATACTGCTAACACTTTCTCCAAAAGGCATTCCCTCTTCCAACCCATATCAGATAGTAATAAACAATCAAACTTTATTCAGTTCATTTTGTCATGAAAAACTCAGGGACCCCTGTCTCTTACATTAACAATCTGACACATCTGTCACATGCTTTTGGCACTTAATTTGCTTAAATTATTAAAGTTTTAATTAAATAGAAATTCATAGTTTAAATTTAGAATATTCAATATGGCTGACCAAAATAACTGGTAATGGAAGATTCCGATCCTTGTGGATGAGGTAGTGGAAAGTTCCATCCATGGAAAGCACAGGGTGACGTAGTAGTAGATTCCAGTTCTATTAGGCGACAGTGGAAATGACCCAGCAAAAAATCATCTTTTGATGTATAGCTTACATCCCATAGCTGACACCGCCAACTCGTACCAAAGATCACTAAAACCCTTCGCTCTTCTACCAACTGATCTGAGTTCTGGCTGTAACTGCCAGAGGGCTCCTTAAACATGATGATCTTAACTTTGCTTTAAGATCTAGTTTTTCCAATTATCAGCTTCCTTCAATTTCAGCATGAATTTAGCAACACACATTCTCATTAACTACTAGAAATAAGATTACACCATTTGAAAGCTGGAATTGAGGCATCCAATTAAATTCTACCCCTGATTATTCACAAAGTATCTGATCTGAAAGTGATCATTGGTCCTTTTCAGTAGGCAAAAAAAGAAAACCCAGAGGCCATTTGTCAGAGGCCAAGAACTTTCAGTGTATCATCAAATTACTATCAATTATCTCAAACCACTTTATTTTGGGTCTTTCAATAATAACATGCACATAGTCACATAGCAAACAAAAATTAAACCAATTTATCGTTATATTTTATTTAACAAATCAAAAGACTAATGAGTACAAGTCTGATCCTTCCATCCCATGATTCAGAAATCAACAGGCCAGGTCAGGACACCTCCCTTCAGACACAACCCAATCAATCACTAGTCTTCTTCTGAAGCTAACTGATATGCTACCATTCCATTGGCCTGATGAATCAGTGAAAAAACTGGGCTCATCAAGATTCTCTTTAAGTAATATCGGCCCCAACTGTCCTGCTCAAAGTTTCTGTGGTTGCATACGACCTTGAACATCAAGGCTCCCTAGGCTTCACTGCAGACTTGAATAGCTGAGGCAGAAGGGCAGAGAAACTGAGCTCCAGTTCTCCCAGTGTGTGTCTAGACTACAAGGTTTTTTCGAAAAAAGTGGCCTTTTTTTGAAAAAACTTCCCCTGCGTCTAGACTGCTGACACATTCTTTTGAAAGTAAACTGAAAGAATGTGGAGGTTTTTTGACCGCGGACATTCCTCATAAAATGAGTGCTCTTTCAAAAAAAGGCACTATGTAATGCAAACTGTGCTTTTTCGAAAGAGAGCATCAAGACTGCCTGGTGCTCTCTTTTGAAAAAGCGGCTTGCTTTTTCGAAAGTACTGGTTGTAGTCTAGATGCTCTTTTTCGAAAGAGGATTTTTCAAAAGTATCTTTAATAAAAAGCCTCTTTCGAAAGAGGTTTGCAATCTAGACGTAGCCTCACTGTACTGTCTTCTGTAGTTGAAGACAATGAGAAAAATAGAGAAAGTTTCAGAGACAAAAAGAATGGGAATGGAAGGGAAAGGGGGAAACAATGGGGTATTGGGCCTTTGGTAAAGAAGGCATTAACAGCACTGCTCACTGAGCATAGCAGTGACACTGGCAGATGTAAAGCACTGGCAGTTTAGACATGGCCTAACTCTTTATCTTGTCTATGCAAGATACAGTGAGGGCTTCAACATCACAATACAGAATACAAAGATACAAACATTTAAAACATATCTAAGACTGTAGGAAACATTGTCTATCACAGCAATCACTTAAAACTGTATTTCATAGGAGAATTTTTTTAAACCCCGTAGCTTCTTTTTCACTGGAAATGCTAATTTCACTTATTTATAGACTATTGTGATTTCAGTGTCAAAGAAACTACACTCTGGGCTCCCACTAAGTATCACATATTTCTGCTTTGTCCATACTAGAGTTCAATAGGACCTTAACATCATAATAAATTAATTTGGATAGAAGTTTTGTTGGTTCCTGAAGGAAATATCCATCTTCAGGTTGCTCCAGAATATCTATTTCCCTTGCTTCCTAAGGAATTACACATTATTACTTAGTTTTTACAAAGGGGGAAATATAGCTACAAGCATTTTGCTGAATTTGTGCTTGTTTATGGTAGATGCACTACTATCCATCATTCTTGGCAAAAATTTGCAACAGCAGAAATCTCAGGACTATACATTATGAACAAGTTCACTGAAATACTTTATTTCTAGTGTTCAAGCTCCAGGCTCCACAGCCACCCTGCCTCTTCCCTCAAGCACCCTCCCATCCCCCTTCATTCAGTACCAGTCCCTCTGCTGCTGCTGCCAGAGTAGAGCTCCCCCAACTAGCAGCAACAGATGGTCTGCTCCAGCCAACCAGGTTCGTGCCATGCTGCACCACGGCCCAGGGGATATTTTGGATGCTTGCGGTCCCATCCCATTGGTTAACCTTTTACATCCCTAATTTAGGCCTACCATTTGATAAGTTACCTGTAAATTCTATGTATTATACAGTGTTACTTACTATTTTAAAGTATTTTGGGCATAGAGTTGTATTCAAGTACCACAGATTTTTTTGTAGTTTTCTTTGGCACCACCACAAATTTCCAAAATAACATACTTCAAGTCACATACTAAATTCAATGTAATTTAAACAATTTTGTAAACCATGAAAGATTTTATTATCACTGAGCAGTTAAGAAGCCTCCAACTTTATATATTAGATTTAATTTTTAAAATATACTCAATAATGTATGGCCAATCACGCGGTCCTCTACAAATCAAATTCCATTTTAAACTAAAAATATCTGCATTATTAGTTCCCTTATTTCTCTCACCCCAATTAAGCAATATTTAATGCACAGCAGGATGTCTTTCAATGTTTTCTCAAAGTGATTAAAGGTTGCAATACTTACTACCAGGCATTGTTATCCAGGAATTTGTCTTCAGTTCTGCAAGATGAAATAAGCTATAAGAAAAACAAAAACATTATCTGAGTTAGATGACATTATACACATTGGTTTAGTATATTTACTTTAAAAGCAAAACATGTTTTGATAAAATTTTCCCCTTACGTATACATCACACTGAAGGCAGTTTTATATAACTAAAAAACCCAAAGCATTTTGGTGCATTTAATTGCATTCCATTTTCCATCCAAATGCAGCTCGACATTTCACAAGTGAAAAAAAAATCATTGAGTAAATAATTTGTCATTTTCTAACATCATAAAACTAAAAATTTAGCCATGAAATATGAGCTATATTATTGTTTGAAAGTACAGATTGATTATCCTTCAGTTAGCAAAAAGTTAAGACAACATTTAGTTGCTGTTGCGCAGCTGGGGGGAGGAGGGCCCTACCTGAGTCAGGAATCTGCTGTGCTGACTTGCACTGGGTTCCCACCACTGTAGTTCTTGTTTTGAAACGTATTGTATTAAAAGTCTGCTGGCTCTTAATACATTTAAAAAGCACAGGCGCAGCTTCTGGGACTAGGCACAAACTTCAGATGATTCCCGGCTCATGCCTAGTCCCTGTGACCCGCCTGCAGGGATGGTGGAGGGGAGGAACCAGCTTTTAAGCCAGCTCCCCTGCACCAGCTCCTACTCTC